CTCGAGTACTGTAATAACACTCCCCTCATAAGGGTCGAGTTTTATCATAAACACTCCCCTCATTAGGGTCGAGTTCTGTCATAAAACACTCACCAACATAAGGGTCGAGTTGCACAAATTAAACATTCCCTGTATATAAGGGTCGGGTATTCCAAAACCAAAGAAGCTTTAAAGTTAGCCGGATAGAGCCCACTGAGACGATTCCGAGATAACAAATAGTTCACACCGAGCTTATTAAGCCCGAGAGATGAACAAGCAAAACCCATAAAATAAACTTACCGCCAAAAGACTAAAAATTTTGGTATGACCGCGTTTCAAGAGGTACTCCTAACGGCATAAAAAGTTGCTAAGGGCCCTTGTAAGGTAATGCCATACACTACATGATCGGACACGTTCAGCCCAATGGACTTTGTATCTGAGGGGCTTATATAAATGTGTTGTATTATCTTGAAGATAAAAATGCAAAAACTAAAAGCCAAAAAGCGAGAAGCAATGGTTACGTAAAACCAAAAAGGGCAAGTAAAAGTACAAAAGCCAAGAGGCGGTCGTCATGATTGTAAACAAAAAGGGGGGATTAACCACTCCTTATATCAAACACTCCTCGATTAAATAGTCGAGTTCTACTAATAAATACTCCTCACATAAGAGGCAAAATATTACATCAAAAGAGATAAACACATCGCCAGAATGGAATTAAGGCCAAGCCGACCAACCCCACCTCTGTGTAATAAAAATCTGAACCACAAAAAGGTCAAACACCGCCACTCTTTGGTTATGTTAGTATGCCTAGATCCCAGTCAAGTTAATAAACCTTTGACAATTATCTAATGAAACCTAGGGCTTTATTGAACACCAACAAAATAAAACTTGCCTTAAACAACAAAGAATATTCTAAACCGGACGAATAAAACCCATTGGGGTAACCGCCAGACTCAACAAGTTTGGCTAGGGGATCTTTAGCTCGTAACAAGATAAGTGAATAATCATCCCACCTCATACAGGCTTGGGGATCTTATAATAAATACCATTGTTGATTTCATAAAATCAGCCAAAGGTAACGTAAAGTTGGGTACCTTATATTCAGACACTTACTCTCGTAGACTTCGTACCTGGGAGACCTTGCTTGGAAAAAAATCGCGTCGCAAGTGTTCAGGCACTTATAAATGACAAAAAATCAAAATCCAATAAATCAGCAGACGAACTCTCTCGGTTATGTTACAACTTGGACAAAATACTTCACTTTAGTGAACTATATGCCTGGAAGGCTCCACGTATATCTTGCGAACTTCGTGTCCGGGGGGGCTTAATGTATACACCTGAGATATCTTATCTAGGCCGGGATATGAACTCATTTAAACAGTAAGGGGGCTCTATACGCCTATTAAAATTCCTCTCTGGGTTAAAACAAAGACCTCGGTCCAATCGACTCACAAGCTGGGATAAACAAACATTAAACTCACTACTTTGTGATATTGCCACAGATAGTTTAACTAGTGACTGGCCAAAAAGTCCAAAAGTATGAAACTTATTACGAAAATGTTGGATATAGATCTCAGTAAGCAAAAGTGTAAAACAGGGTAATTTGGCCCTTTACCTATACTAAAGTCGGGTGGGTTGTATCTCCGACATGAGCATAATGCATACCTCCAAAGTACTAAACTCAAATAAGCATAAACACGGTGTGATAGAAAGAAATTATCCAATGTGAAAAGTTTACATGGGTCGGGATAGAGTTAAAAACACTTTGCCCTTACAAACCCAGTGCCCTTACAGGCCTCGTACTTTTGGGGCTTATGTACATCCCATAATATTTGTATTAAGGTCGAGGTATGAACTTGGATAATTAATGATTTACGGGATCGTCCCTAAGAGACCGAAGCTAATTACTTAGTCAGGCCCAACCGGGTATGAGCCTGACACAACACCATCGATTTATAGAAAGCCAAACCTGAGGAGGGTGAGAGGTATAATCGTAAATCTAATGATAAGACAAGCGTCACAAAGTCATTAAAAGGCGGTTACAATTGTTATAAGAATTAATGGACGATTATGTCATTATGGACATTGATTATGGTTATTCAATAAGAACATTTCCTATGATATATATAGGCCTAAAACCCAAAAGGCAAAGGAGACCTCTCTCAACCTCTTTCTCTCTCTCTCTCTCACTACAAACTCTCTATGATATATTCCAGAGAGACATTACACATTATACCTAGGGGCTACCGCCCGAGGGATAAGCTAGACACTATTCTTGGGTCAATACCTACCAATGTGGTAGCACCCAAATCTTCAATCATCCTACAACCCACATTCTAGGCTCTCCTCATCTCCAAAGGGGGGAGCCAATTGAATATTTGTTCCCTGCAAGAACATGTAGTGATGCAGTTCTATTAGCATGTATAATAATATGGTTCTAAATGTTATGGTTGTATGTTAAAGTTGTGTTATGTATGTGTTGTACCCTAATTATTTTACCTAAGATCCCACTTAATATGCATCATTGCATCTCTAACAAATACAAAAATAGCTAGTGTGTTTGCTCTTTGTGTCAAGCATGATTTTGAATCAAGAAATCTTCATCAGTGTAAGTCTTGATCAATTAGGATTTTGGTTGAAGAAAAGTGGATCATTGATTTTTGGATTAGTAAATGACCTAATGGCTTGAGGCATGATTAAAAGAACTCAAAATAAACATCTTGACCTAATTATATGGCTCAAAAAAAATTTCAAAGATACAATTGATTGATAGTGGAGGAGTTAGTAATCATCTGATGAAAAGTCAGTTGTCACACAAAAGTCAAAATTGGACTTTTTGGTCAACATTGAAGTTCAAAGATCAAAGGTCATCAAAGCATTAAAATTTATCTAACTTGTTCACCAATAATTAAGATAATCAAGAAAAGTCAACAAAAGTCAAAGGTTGAAGATTTTGAACACTTAGAAAAAATTCAAGTGTTTTACACTTAAAAATCCCTAACTTCATGGACAAGTTTCACCAAGATCCAAGTTGATTCAAGAAAAATGTTCAACATGAAACTTGTAGGGAATGAAAAGTTATACAACTTTGTCGTTAATGGTTGATCTCCAAAAAGTTCTCAAATGAAGAAATATATCATGAGAAGTTCTGCCAACACTTAGAGAAAAATGTAAAACAATTTTGACCTTGAAAAGTGACTAATTTATGGCCAATGTTCACTAAGATCCAGATTGATTCAAGAAAATTGTTCAACATAAAAGTTGTAGATAAAGTTTCAAGATTTCCAAAATATCCAAGAGCATGAATTTATCTTTCTTGAGTTGGAAGTTTCAAATTTATGAAGTTGGGTAATCAAAGTTGCATTACAAGTCCTTTTTTAGAAAGCTTAATGATCAAATCTTCAAGTCATGCTATGCAATCTCTCTTTTCAGGCCATAGTACCTCTAAATCTCTCCAAAATCAGAAGAGTACACAAGCCTTTGAGTCTTTGTCCAAATGATACAATCTATTATCCATTTAACTTGCCATTTTTGGAAGAAAGTTATCAATACCATTCTTGAAAAGTAAGTTTTTTGTACAAAGCATGCCTTAAACCCATACCACTGCTATCTTTTGATCACACTCCACCATGAATCAAGAAAACAATGTCTCTTCACCAGCCTTTCCTTGTACTTGACCATGAAACCATGGATTTGCAAGATTACTTCTCAACTAAGTTTCAAAGCCTTATGCTTCAAACTGATCATCTCCAAACCCTAATGTTTCTCTATAAATAGAGATCATCTTTGCACTTAAAAACAACCAATTCACAACTCCAAAAACACCCTCAATCTCTCTCAAATCACAATTGGCCAAAATTCTCCAATTTTGAGTTTTAAAATCCATTTTTTCAAATCTCTCAAACCTTGCAATATTTGTGCAAACCAACCATCCATACACCTCACATACATCATATAGAAGCTGTCCAAACAAAAGAACAACTCATGTAACCAGTCCATCATCATACACCATTTTCACTTTTCACCATTGCAACTTGACTTGGTCAGAACAATTGGGCAAGCTACAAAGCATTCTACCAATTGGAATAGCTTTAGGAAGGTCCAGGGGAGCTTAATTAATCATCACATTGCATCTGAAACAGCTAGAAGAAGCATTGAACTTTCTCCAATTTGGTAATTTTTTTGAAATGTGATATCCATATACATGCATGATTTGAGTTTAGTTTCTAAAGATAAAATGTAGATATTAATGTCCTGAAGCTAACCATATCATTAGTTTTCATTAATTTTTCTTGTGGAGTGAGAATCGAAGCTCTGGCCAGTTATGGTTCGTTTTTGGTACCAATAGAAATTCTTATTTATCTTTGAGTGTTAGTTAAAATAAATTATATGGTTGAATTCCTAGTTAAATTTCAAGCAAGTTTGGTGTTTATACTTTTCAAAATGGTTGAGAAATAAAGCTTTTAGAAAATTCAAAAATGGTGTTGATGTTGCTATCTGCGCGAAGAAGATGAAGTTCATCTTCAAGTTTTAAAAAAAAATTGTAATATATTTAATGATAGTAAGATAATGACTGGATGAAACAGCCACCCCAGTGACAAGAAGCGTGCGCCTGTCACCAATTGGGAGTGGGTTCGAACCTGTTGGTGTCCACCCCTATTTTTACAATTCATTTTTTTAATCATTTTTTCACTTCGTTTTTTACAATTTTCATTTAATTCTTTCACCAATCAAATTAATCTTTTTTTGAGACAATTTTTTGCACACTCTTAGTTTATCACCTCTATTTTGTGAATATAAAAAAATATCACAAAAATATTATTTAATTCATCATTTTTTAATTAAATCAAAATCGGTACTTTTTAGGTTTTTTTTAAAGACTTTCCCTTTATCTTTTGATTAATTTTCCAACTTTTCTCACAAGGCTTTCTTTTACCCTCAGTACTTTATAGGATCAGGAAGAAAACCTAATGATGTAATAGTACCTTGGGTGAAAAGAAAAAACTCTCAAACAAGTAACCTCATGTTGTGGAAAAGAAGGTTGAAAGGTCCTCAACAAAATCGGGTCCATCAAAATCAAATACAGCTACAAAAGAGAATCAAAGTAGAAAACAAATAAACATACATTAATTATAAAAGAAGATAAATGAAAAGAATACAAATGAAAATGTTGTAGATACTAACCTGGAGTTCCACAAAGCCAATCATGTGTACACAACAATGCTTTAACATTATCAAATGAAAGTGCGCTTCGATACTTGTCAAGTATACGTCCACCTATACTAAATGCTAATTCTGATGCAACTGTAGTAATTGGAATGCTCAAAAGTCGCGTGCCAATATTGAAGTCAACTATCCCTTCATGTTCAACAAAAGTAAAAGGATAATTGTGTTTGACAATTACCTTAGATATCTTTTCCCTGTACTTTTCTTGATCCAGTGGCGGATATGAAGATCCATTCCCTCTTCCAACACATTTCACCATATGATTTATCAAATTTGAAGTGCCGCCACCATCTCTAGCCATGTAAGTTTTATTATAATTTTTACATTTGGTCTTTGGGAGTCCGTTATCATCAACAAACTTTTCAAAATATTCTCAAGCCGTAGAAGTTTTTGTTCTTTTTGAACTAGGGACCGAACTTTCATCAACTTCTTCCTCAATTTGAATTACGGGTTCATCGGCTTCGGTAGACATATTTCCTGCTTGCAAATAAATCAAGGTCACGTGAGAAATGAAGACCAATATGTCAATTAAAATTGGTTGAACATGTCTATTGTATAAGGTTTAATAGGCCTAATATCTATATGATAGAAAGACAGTTACTAAAGAAATTATGGTTTCTAAGTTTCAATAGAACGAATGCTTAATAAAAATATTATTATCATACATAACATAGTTGATGAATAAAGTGGAGATGTAATAGAGGATCCATCCATAATGGGTAACACTTAATGATGCATACAAATGGAGAAAATGACATGCTTTTCATGGTACTAATAGTACACATGTCCACGATTTAACAGTAGTAATGATGTATGCAGAAGGAAGCATGAAAAAAGTACTTGTTCTTGTAACTTGTAAGTTTGTCGATAGAAAGTCAAACATACTTAAGGTTATGATGATGATAACTTTGGTTTTCTAGAATTAGTTTTTTTTTAATTCCAAGTACTCTAACCAATTTAAAGAGCCACAACACAACAAAAGCCTAAAATATGAAAAAAGACTATGATTACCACAAAAAATACACTCATCAGCACAACATTCGTTATAGATGAAGAAACTGTCATGGTTATGACAACATTTGATGAGAAATAATCATTGTTTTTATTGATTGAAATGAACTCAACTCCATAACGTAGTTGTAAAAACTTCTTGCTTAGCTTGATAGCAAAGAAGAAAAAACTACTTAGCTCGATCAAGAACCACCTATATGACAATACCTTTGAGAAAATTGGCTGCTGAATTGTAAATTCTCAGAAAGTCATCACCACAATTTATCACTTCTTAAAGAGTTATAACTTTCTGAAAAATGAAGCAATCAACAATAAAACTGTGTTGAACAGTGTGTTCAAAACAAAAGCCTATGTAGCTAGCATTCCAATTGTAGTTACTAACTAACTAGTTAAATAATACTTCTGAAACTACTGATACCAATAATAAGTTCAAATATGAAGCTTCTACAGTTGAATAATCACTTATTTGCTACAATCATACATCTCGGATAGTCCGATCAAACCGTTCAAATTTCAACGTCATAAATCAATTCAAAATACAGAGTTGAAATGTGAGTCATTGCCTATTGATCAAACAGCCTAAACCAAAGAACGGCGGCAAATGCAAGATTTTCTAACTAGAGGGAAGTGTTGTCAAATAGAGGTTATAACTTAGTGGAATTTGAATATACTTCTATTGTTCATCAAATAGCACTATAGCACCAGCCATAGACAACAATTCTAAAGGGAATACCAATCTAAAGATGTTCAAAGATCACCCATTCAAATATCAATTTGTATAACAATTGGAAGCCTATGTAGCTAGTATTCCAATTCTTATCTTACCAACTAGTTCAATAATACTTCTGAAACTACTGATACTAATAACAGGTTCTAATATGAATTTTTCTACTGTCACATAATCACTTATTTTCTACCAGCATACATCTCATAAACTAGGAATTAAATGCATTTAAATGTTAAACACTTTGAGAATTTTCAAGAACAGGTTGTGACTTAGAACTAGAAATTAACAAATAACAATCCCAGAAACATAACCAAGTTCACAAAACAAAAAGCAACACTTCTCTACAACCATTATCTTCACTTTCTCACCAAGACCAAAACATAACGAAAGTCAGAAAGACATTGTTTTCACGTATCGAAACGAAACGAAAATCAAACACATGAATTTTGAAACGAAAAATCAAACAATGAAATGTGCGCGAAATACAGAAAAAACGAAATGAATAACAAGACAAATCACGGATCGAAGAAAAGTTCGGTGAGATCTAAGCAAAATTGAAAGAGAAAGCGTGAAATGGAAGAAAAATTTGCGAAGGTTACCTTTGCGAGAAATAGGGGGAAAAGTGACGAAACAACTATGACGAATTTGTAGCTTTGAGATGAATTTGGGGAAGAAATTAAAATTAGGGTTAGTATCGAAAAAGAGATGAAAATTTTGAAACGATTAAGAGAGAGAACGGTCCGATTCAGAGAGAGAGAGAAAATGAAAGTTGTTTTCTTTGTTTTTTGTTTTTTGTTTTTTTTTTTAAATTGTTCGATTTAAATTTTAATATATTTTATAATAAATAAAATAAAATGTAATCCATTAGATTTACATAATAAGATGGATGGATTGGATCCATCTATTTGATTTGGTGGATGAGTAATTTGAATCCATTAAATTATTTATAAGTTAATGGATGAATTAGATGATTTTTTAATGAATTGATCAAATGAATTTTTGTTTAATGGATCTAATTGTCTCTCCTAACCTAAAATTAATGGTAAAAAGATTCCTCTCTAATAATCACCAATTCTAAATGATCTTACCTGATTAGACTTGGTCCGTCACGACTATCTCGGGCAGAAATTTGAGTGAGATGGGGGATATCTGCAAGACACTCTGATGCTAAAATGAGTGACGGAATGAGCAGGCAAAAAGTGTGTGTATGCGTAAGAGATGAATATCTGACCCTCTGGAAACAGAGGATATTTATAGCCCTCAGCGCTGGGTCAAGGTCCCCTCACTGGGCCGGCCAGAACGGGCCCAATAAAGGAACTTCCAGGTTCTACGTGTGTGGTGGGGCCCCGCACGTGGTCCCCTTCCTGGTGATGTTCTGCGAAGAATGAGGAGGGACGAGGACGCGGTCTTTCCCGAGTTTAGATAATTTGGTAACGGTCATAATCTGCCCTACGAGGAGAGTGCTCGAGCGGGGCTCGAGCTGGAGTTCCCGTGGTCGAGGACATCAGGTGTCGCGGGCACGGCTGCAGTCTGCGGTCGGGCGCGCTGGCGAGAATCCGCGGGCGCGCGTTCCTCGAGGAGCTGCTTGGATTGGGCCTTTGTTCTTGCTTTTGGGCTAGGGCGGGCCCAGTCCAGAACAAGAGCCCCCCAAGTCGTGGCTCCTGGAGCAGGAGTTATGACTTGACTTCAGCTCGCCTCCGCCACGGGGTCTAATGCCCGGCCCAGGATATTGCTTCCTCGTGATTGCTCGAGGAGTTTCTCATGAGTTGTGTTCGTAGCGTAGTCCTCGTCGACGCGTGCTCGGGGGATTCCTCGCGGGCTGCGTTCATTGGGTACACGAGGCAACCCTTGGGAACCGTGATTCCACCCTAGCAACAATAGGGTCATCATTGCCTAGGGGAGTAGGCGTCGAGGAGGGGAAGTTCGTGGTTCCCTGGGGCGACGTTTCGTATTCCACGTCATCCCTATAAATAGGATCTTTGGGTCCCATAATTTGTTTTTCCTCTTCGCGCTTCTCCTTTTTCCTCTGCCTTTACCGCCGCTGTTCTTCTACAACTTTGCAAGATTACCGCATCTTCCTCCGTTGATTTCTTTTACCTCCGCCGTACATTCCTCTTTGCTTCCAAGTAAGCGTTTATCCCTCCTATTTTTCTTCGTAGTAGGTAATTTTACCGTTATTTGGATGGTAGAAACCCATATCTGGGATTAGTGCCCGGTATATTCATGTTTGTGCCCGGTAAACTCATAGCTTTAGGTATGTGACTCGCGATGCTGCCCAGGACCTTCATGGTTTTAGGCGCATAATCTATGATATTGCCCAGTAAACCCATAGTTCTAGGCTTGGGATTCATGATATTGCTCGTCACATTCATAGTTTAGGTCGGCGCACCCATGAGCTAGTCGGGATATTGATCCATTAGGAAGTATGTAGGACAACTCATCGTGGCACCTTAGCGTCGGGAGGTGAAACCAGGATCTTGCTCGAGTCCTCAACGTTTTATCGCGCGCGGAGCGTGTCTTGGCTTGTCGTGCACTACTTCCCGTCAGTTATGGCGAGCATATGGATTTGCTCTCAAATTTCACCGGTTTCATGTGCTTTGCAGGTAAATGGCTGACGAACCGGAGTCTTCGAGGCGTAATGAGGTCGAGGACCAAAGTGCCGAGGAGAATGTAACTCTAGTTGATATCATCGATGATCCTTCGTTGGATTGGGTGGGTGCCGAGCCCCGAGGGATTGCCTCGGCGTATAGTCGGCGTAGTCGGCGCCCATACACTGTCGTCGAACACGGCGGTAGTCAACTGGGTTTCCAGAAGAATTTTGTTGTGACAAGGCCGTCCCTCGACGCATGAATCTGCTCAGAGTTCTCCGAGTATGGGTTTCCAATGTATGAAATCGCGTTCAAGGATCTCGGCCTTAAGCTCCCCTTCAGTGATTTCCAAGTCGGGGTATTCTGCCATCTGGACTTGGCCCCCTCGCAGCTTCACCCCAATTCGATCGCCTTTCTTCGGGCGTTCGAGCTGACATGCCGCTTCTTGAGGATCGGGGCGACCATTCCTCTTTTCTTCAGAGTTTTTCACTTGCAGCGCCAGTCTCGAGGGGGAAGGCATAGCTGGGTTTCCCTGAAACAGTCGAAGAGGCTGTTCAGGATGTACATGGATTCGGTCCGGGGCTTCAAGGACAAATGGTATGTCCTGCAGCCGGTCACCCAGACTGCTTTGGATTCTATGTATGAAGAGGAAACCGCAGTGGTCGACGAGAACGGGGAGCCTCTTATGGACGTCGAGGGTCGCCCAGTGGTGGGGCATGTATCCAAGTTCTCGTTGCATTGGTGCTCGCGCCATTACGAGCATGGTACCGGGCACTACCATACGCCTGCGGGAGGAATGAGTGTCGAGGATGAGGAAGCCTATGGTATCCTCTGCAAGTATGTCAACAGCTTCTTCCCTGCCCGGTGGGTCACGAGGCAGGGGGAAGATATTCTTGACGAGGAAGGTTACCCGACATTCGAGGCTCGTCCTATCAATACCAAGGCGCTTGTCGAGTGTCAATCCTACGGGCAGGC